CATTGTCCCTGCTCCTGGGCCATAATTAGTACTTGGTAATGCTTATCAAATTGAAGGGATTGAAATCAAAGTGCAACAGATATTAGAATCTGATTCAATAAACCATGTAAAATTAGGCTTTTATTTTTTTGTTGTTGTTGTTGTTAATGCTCATGCAAAATTCAAATCTTTCGTGAATTTTGTTGTTAGCTCCCATCGATTTTAATTTGCTTCTTTAAATTTTCTGTGGTCTTAGGGAATGCATAGGAAAGGTCCTCAAATTATACCAAAAACAGTGTAAACAGGCTCTGAGATGAATGAGGTTCTGTAACAGCTACTTGGTTACCTGAGGCATCTATCAATACGTGCAGGTCCATGGTCATGTTTCCCCGCTTCACACTTAAATAGGACACTTAGTCTTATTGCCATTGATCTCATGATTAATAGAAACTGGAAAAATATGAGTCAAATTACATATGCGGTTAATTAGCCACCTTTTCATAAACTCCAAGGAATCCCGTTATACCTTTGATTCCGTTTACTGTTTCTTTCCTTTCCTGGTTTGTCTTCATTTCTGTAGCATCTGTGTGGATGTGCCATTCTGTGTTTGCTGCTGGGTCTGCTTTGCTTCCCTGCCCTTTGCCCACCCGTGGCACCGACACCTCTGACCGCCTCCTCTCCTTCCTCCTCAGCGATCCCAAGCTCCAGTGTGCTCCCCTCCGCTCCCAGAGATGTGGTCCCTGTCCTGGTTTCCAGTCGGTTCATCCGTCTCAGCTGGCGCCCACCCGCAGAAGCAAAAGGGAACATTCAAACCTTCACCGTCTTTTTCTCCAGAGAAGGCGACAACAGGTACGTGCCACCAGGAGAATTCAGCCTAGCCACCCCTCTCTTTAGAGGGACACTGTGGGGCACTGGCGGCGGCACATCTTAGCAGGGACCTCGGAGACCTGTGGAATCAACTCTGTGTCCTTCACTCATTACTAAATGGAGACTTTATGACTCCTTTCTCTGTTGGGTTTTTCTTTAATTAAAATACGTTTTTAAAAAATTGATTTTAGAGAAAGAGGAAGGGGGATAGAGAGAAAGAAACGTGGATGGGAGAGAGAAACATTGATCAGCTGCCTTTTACATGCCCCCTATAGGGAATCAAACCCAAAACCTGGGCAAGTACCCTGACCGGGAATGGAACCAGTGACCTCTGGGTGCCTGGGATGATGCTCAACCACCTGTTTCTGAGCTGTGATGCTTGTTTGCTCATATTTATTAAAATCCTTAACACAATAGCTTTCTAAAGGTCGTGGGTTGAACATTTGCCTCAGATTAGCAATGATTTTGTCAGGCAAATTACTCTGGCTCAGATTATCATGAATCTGCCCAATTAGTTAATGGTGGCAATAAATGCAAGTGCCATAGTAAACATTTTTTTATTCATCCGCCTCGGTGCTTTCACTCCATAAATCAGAGAGTAGCATAAATTTTAGATCCTGAAAGTCAGAATTCATAAGACATAATTACTTCAGAGATATCCATCTATCCCCTCTTAGTACCTAAAAATCATTAGACTTGAAAGGGGTCTTTTGAATCCTTCTACTTGAACTTCCTTCTACTTGAACACTTAGAGACGGATGCTCTGGGGAGGCTGAAATCACATGCCCAAGCCCACAGAGTATGCATGGATAACAGGAGCAGGCATTTACTGAGCACTTATGGTGCCAGGTACCAGACTAAGCATCTGGCAGAGTTGTCTTATCGAATCCTCACAACAATAACATCCCCCTTAAGAAAGAAGTTCGCACCTCTGTGATACAGCTAGTACGTGGTGGGACCAGGGTTTAATACAGGCCTGACTCTAAAGCAGGTGCTCTCAATGGCTACCTAACTTCCTCCTAACCCCGTGGTCAGCAAACTGGGGCTCGCGAGCCACATGCGGCTCTTTGGCCCCTTGAGTGAGGCTCTTCCTAAGCCTTAGGAGTACCCTAATTAAGTTAATAACAATGTACCTACCTATATACTTTAAGTTTAAAAAATTTGGCTCTCAAAAGAAATTTCAATCGTTGTACTGTTGATATTTGGCTCTGTTGACTAATGAGTTTGCCGACCACTGCCCTAACTGATTAACCTGGAAAAAAACCAAGCTCTCTTGATATTTTTTATGAATTATGACATGAATTTCCTCTGTAGGCTTATTTCTAATAATTTTCTGACTTGATGGCTTAGTTTACTTGCATCATTTATTTACCATATAAAACTTACAGGAGCAAACTTTTTAATTCATGCATAGAATATCATACCTCCCACTTAGTAATCTGAAGTTACTTATGGAGTGTGGCACAGTGTAGCTGAAAGGGTAAGGCCCTGTGGCTCTGGAATTGAATTGCTTGGGTTTCAGTCCTGGCTCAGAATTTGACCAGCTGTGTGGCCTTGGGCCAATTACTGGTGCCTTGCTTTCCACACTTGGGATCATCATTGACCCAACATGTCAGGTTGTGATGAGTATTAAATGAAGTTAAGACAAAGTGCCTAAGACAGATACCCATCGCCTGGTGCCCCATAAGCACTCCATTCTTGTTAGCAGTGCCATGTGCAAATCATGGTGGCGATTAGAAATGAACGTCAGTGAAATGCAGATATTCTCCAATTGATCATTAGAAAGGGCTTTATCACTTTCACAAACATTAGCCCATTTGATCCTCAGATAAAGCAGGAATGATAATCTCCATATTACAGATGAGCACGCCTTGCTCTGTTCAGGAAGTATCAAAAATACTGCCTGAAGAGCTACACAACCAGTAAATATTAAAAATCAGAATTTAAATGCAAGGTTTCCAGTCCAGTGATCTCCTCACTGTACCATACAAGTAAAAGATATTCGGAAAAAGTGCTACATACAAAGACTGCGGGAGTTCAGATGAGAGAAGTAAAAACACTTTCATGGGCATCTTTCAATTTAATCCCCACCATGACCCTGTGAGGTAGGCAGATAAGTGACTGGTATCTTCCTTTTGCAAATGAAGCAGGAGGGCTCCGAGATAGCTCCTGACTTGCTCAACGTCACATGACTTTGTGGCAGAACAAAGTCAGGGTCTTCCATGTGCAGGGCTGTATACAATGCAGTGCTTTATGCTGCCTCGGGAAACCTCTGCTCACTGCTTGGGAGGTGAGAGCAGCTCTTCATGATTGACATGGAGGATTCACTTTAGAATTCTAAAGTGCATTGGATTTTCTTTTTTAAAATATATTTTTATTGATTTCTGAGAGGAAGGAAGAGGGAGAGAGGGAGAGAAACATCAATGATGAGATAGAAACATTGATCAGCTGCCTCTGCATGCCTCCTACTGGGGATTGAACTGGCAACCTGGGCATGTGCCCTTGATTGGAATTGAACCTGGGACCCTTCAGTCCACAGATCAACACTCTATCCACTGAGCCAAACCAGGTAGGGTGATTTTCTGTCAATTTAAAAAATATACATTTTTTTATTTATTTCAGAGAGGAAAGGAGAAGGAGAGAGAGATCCAAACATCAATGATGAGAGAGAATCATTGATTAGCTGCCTCCTGCACAGCACCCACTGAGGAGGAGCCTGCAATCTGGGCATGTGCCCTGACTGGGAATGGAACCGTGACCTCCTAGTTCATAGGTGGACACTCAACCACTGAGCCACGCTAGCCGGGCAGATTTTCAACATGGTGTTTACATGTCCTTCCCCTGCTCTGCAGTGTTGAGGACCGTGCAGCTGACAAGGCTTGTTATGGTGAAGGGAGTGGGTTATGAGAGGAGAGCAAGTCTCCGAATCCAAAGCACCACACTCTGACCCCGGCTTAAGGCTCAGCAGGAATGGCCCTCCTGTCACTCTGCTTCTCAGTGAAATTCAGTCCCATCCTTTCTACCTCAAAATGGTCTTAGGATGAGAAACTGTGATTTAATTCTTCCAATGGGTTGAACAGGTATTTAAAGGTATGCCATTTATAAATGCCATATACAAATGAGTGACCCTTTATTCACTCGCCTAGCACTGCGATTGAAATAACAGAGAAGCCGGCAGTCTCTTTGGAAGCAGTTTAACGGTGTTGGGAGGATCATTCTACTGATGCGTATATGACTACACACCGAGTGGAGAGCTCTAAAGGGAAGGAACACGCTTCTGTAAGAGAAGTCACGGAGCATGCGCATGATGTCTAGGCCAGTGGTCAGCAAACTGCGGCTCGCGAGCCACATGCGGCTCTTTGGCCCCTTGAATGTGGCCACGAAGTTTCAATCGCACTGTACGTGCGCGCCCGCACGTAGTATTTTGTGGAAGAGCCACACTCAAGGGGCCGCAGTTTGCCGACCACTGGTCTAGGCCATACTCAGACTTGCATTTAGAGAGGTGTGATGTCTAGGCCAGTGGTCAGCAAACTGTGGCTCGCGAGCCACATGCGGCTCTTTGGCCCCTTGAATGTGGCCACGAAGTTTCAATCGCACTGTACGTGCGCGCCCGCACGTAGTATTTTGTGGAAGAGCCACACTCAAGGGGCCGCAGTTTGCCGACCACTGGTCTAGGCCATACTCAGACTTGCATTTAGAGAGGTTGATGGTGGCTGCGGAGTGGAAGTTTGATCAGAAGCAGTGAGTGGGTGCTGGGGAGCCATCTGGCAGGCTTTGCAGGAGCCCAGGCTGGAGAGGATGCTGAGTCGGATTAAGGGGGTCTGGGTGGAGAGGGAGCAGGTGACAGATTCTGGAGATAGTTAGGTAACAGCACTGACAGGACCAGGTGATGGCTTGGGCATTCACGGTGAGGGAAAGGAGATTTTTCAAGATAACTCCTAGGTCTCTGGCTCCTGTAAATGGGTGGATGGTGGGGCAATGTGCTGAGTGAGATAAGGATACTGGAAAGATCCAGATTTGGGAATAAAAGGTATCAGTTCTGTTTCAGGCTTGTTGGTTTGACACGCCTTTACAATATTCAAGGGGAACTGTCAAGCAGGTCCTTGAAAATAGGCCCCTGGAGCTCAGAGGAGAAGTCCAGGCCTGATATATAGACCAGGAATGTGTCTACACATCGATGATAACTGCAATGGAGAAAGATAAGATCCCCTCCCACCCTCCTCCCCCGCAAAAAAACCCAACAACACAGAACTAGAAGATCACCCAGAGTGAGTCAGATTTATTATAGGGACATTGGCCAAAATCCAACAAAGTAAATAATTTTAACCCAAAACTTTTTTTCCAGGAAAGAACTTCTTATTTGTTGTGGCAGTAGTTATTATGTGACTAGTCTATTAGAAGTTTACTAGATGCTGAAACAGAGGTTATATGAAAACAAAATGTTTAAAAGCCTGTTTCTCAGACTGTGCTTAGAAAAAAAAAACACAGTTTTTGACCTGGGTGCAGTGGCAATACCTCCGACCAGGGTGCTCTCCATCCCCCACGGTCTTTGTCTGTGGCGACTCACCTCTGAACCTACCTCCTCTTCAGGACAGCACCGGCTGCAAAGGGTGCATCTGGGGTGACATTTGGGTGGCTGTCACTCTCATTGCCGCTGTCACTTTGAAGCCTGTTTCCTGTTCCAGCGATTTTCAGCTGCTGTGCCGCAAGGATTTTTAAAACATGCAGTACCTGACCTTGTTTGCCTTGGATTGTCTAATAACGAAATGACAACAGCCAACACCATAGTCATCGGTGTGAATAAATCAAGAGTATATCTATTTTTTGTCAGGTCAGCAAAAAATATATGTGTCGGTGTGCCGCCACCTGTTAGTAATTAGTTTACATGTGCCGTGAGATGAAAAAGCTTGAAAAACGCTCCCTGTTCTAGCAAACTCTGTATTTCAGTTTTGAAATCTTCTCATCATTGCACCATTCTTTCT